GCTTAACGACTGAGCCACCCAGGCATCCCTTTAATTTGTTTTATAAGAAAATAAGTGATAGTATTTTTTAGAATTGTTAAACTATCTTTTATTTTTTTATTTTATCTTTTATTTATAAAAGATTTTATTTATTTATTTGAGAGAGAGAGAGAGCACAAGCAGGGGAGCAGGGAAAGGGAGAAGCAGGGAGCCCAATGCAGGGCTTGATCCCAGGACCCTGGGATCATGACCTGAGCTAAAGGCAGAGGCTTAACCAACTGAGCCACCCAGGCATCCCAAACATTTATCTTTTAAAAAGAAGATAGAAATTTAATTCATTGAGACTTGTTAAATATTTTCTTACTATAAAGTAGTTTAGCTGATACCTAGTTTTTATTTAATGGAAAGGGTTCCAGAAGCAAGTAGCAGAAGCAAGCAGCTTTCTTTTAGTTTAAGAAACAGTTAATATAAGAAAAGCATTTCAGGCAAATGATGTAGAGGATTAAAATCATTAGGAAATTTTGTTGATGCAATTTTAAAATTCACACTAGCTAAAAGATCATGTATATGTGCTTGAAATATTTTGTCTTAAATACTGCTTTAGTTTTACCGTATCTTTATTACTCTTAGAAGTTTTTCAGAGGGCTATTTCATACAGCATTTCTTTTTTTACTTTTTTTTTTTAAGATTTGATTTATTTATTTGAGAGAGAGTGGGGAAGTGAGTGAGCAGGGGGGAGGGGCAGAAGGAGAGGGAGAAGCAAGCTCCCCGCTGAACAGGGAGGCCTTCCATGGCTTGATCCCAGGACCCTGGGATCATGACCCGAGCCGAAGGCAGATGCTTAACGACTGAGCTGCCTAGGCACCCCTCATACAACATTTCTTAATTTACATTCTAAGCCTAATTAATGTGTAGTAGAAACTAAGTACTTTCAGTGACTTTTGCTGTCAATATATGATAGATTTCTGCAGTGGAACTCTGCTCCAGCAGCTTGTATTTGCTAAATCAAACTGCTAAAATATAATTTTTTAAAGACTCAATCTGAGGTAATTCATTATAATAATTTTTTTGTGTACTTTATTACAGGTTACATTTCTAATCAAAGAAGTTAGGGATATCGTTCTTTAGAATATGTTTCTTGTATATTTCCCAAATATTTTATGTATTTCTTTTTAGTGTGATTTAGATATGTAAAGGTTGGTCATTGAAATGTATCATAAACTGTATGTTAGTATAGTGTTCTAATATCTATAATATTTTAAGACTGAGTATGCTTGATTTTTGCAAAATGCACAGATTTTAAATTTAATATATGAATGTTTTTTTAGATTTCAGAAAACTTTTATTTTGACCTTAATTCTGAGCAGATGAAGGGATTATTACGTCCCCATGTACCACCTGCTGCCATTACCACCTTGGCAAGATCAGCTATTTTTTCTATCACTTATCCTTCACAAGATGTTTTTCTTGTAATAAAGGTGAGAATAATGTTAAATATATTTATTTGTGTAGTGTCTGTATACTTGTCTCTATTAATATCACAAGCTTTTCAGGGGCAAAGATTTTATCTTTTTTATTTTTTCATCTTAATATTTCTTTTTTTTTTTAAAAAAGATTTTATTTATTTATTTGATACAGAGAGAGAGAGAGAGGGAACACAAGCAGGAGGAGTTGGGGAGGGAGAAGCAGGCTTGCCGCTGAGCAGGGAGCCCGATGCGGGGCTCGATCCCACGACTCTGGGATCATGACCTGAGCCGAAGGCAGACGCTTAATGACTGAGCCACCCAGGCACTCCTCATCTTAATATTTCTTAACACAGTATTGGATGTATACTATAGGTGCTTCCCAAGTTTTTTTTTGAGTGGGAGCTCTGTTAGTAAGGATTCTCTGGAGAAACAGATCAGTAGGATAGAGACACACACACACACAGACACACAGACACACACACACACACACAGATTGATTGCTTTTAAAGAATTGGCTCATATAATTGTGAAGGCTGGCAAATTTGAAATGTGTAGGGCAAGGTGGCAGGCTGGCGTTCAGGTAAGGGTTGATATTGTAGTCTTGAGTCTGAATTCTGCAGGGCAGCAGACTGGAGACTCCGGCAGTGTTGAGGATTATTTTTTGGGAAACCTCAGTGTTTGTTTTTAAGGCCTTCTCGTAATTGGATGAGGTCCACCCACATTGTGGAGAAGGTAGTCTGCTTTACTCTACTGATTTAAATGCTAATCACCTCTAAAAAAAAAATCTTCACAATAACATGTAGATTTATTTGATCAAATAACTGGGTATCATAGCCTAGCCAAATTGGCATATAAAAATAACTGTCATAGGAGCCTTCCTATGATTTTATCACTCAGTTCCTATATTATATAAATATCAATATCTAAATCATCGAGGTCATGGAGCATTATGATTTGAATGTTAGCCAGTTAAGAATAAGAATTAGAAACATAGGGGGGTTAAAAAAGAGAGAAGCAAACCATCAAACAGAGGGTTTTTTTTTAGTGTTCTGTTAGTCACCATACAGTACATCGTTAGTTTTTGATGTAGTGTTCCATAATTCATTATTTGCATATAACACCCAGTGCTCATCACCACATGTGCCCTCTTTAATACCCATCACCTGGCTACCCCATCCTCCAACCCCCCCTCCCCTCTGAAACCCTCGGATTGTTTCTCAGAGTCCATAGTCTCTCATGGTTTTTCTCTATCAAACAGACCTTTAACTATAATGAAGAAACTGAGGGTTGCTGGAATGGGGGTAGGCAGGGGGAGGGGTTAAATGGGTGATGGGTATTAAGGAGGCAGTTGTGATGAGCACTGGGTGTTGTATGTTGGTGATGAACTTCTAAATTCTACTTCTGAAACTAGTATTACCCTATATATTAACTAACTGGAGGATAAATAAAAACTTGAAACAAAACAGACAAAAACAAAGAATAATGATTACAAATTGTAAAATCTGAATCTTATTAAGCTCCTTAGCTTAGGATAACTTGAAGAATAATTTGCAATAACTTGACCTTGACTTGAGAGAAGCCTAAAATACATTCCTTAATCATTTTATCTTTATTTATATAAAATTATAAAAGGTAATGAATTTTACAATAAGGTTATAAAGTGGATTGTCATGAAATGAATCCTGTTTACCCACAGGAATAATGTCCTAATTTGTGGACACATTGCTATGAATTCAGGTTAAAATAGGTCTTAGCTACAATGAACAGTCAGTCCTAGAAGCAACAATTTAGCAGCAGTGGTCTCTAGAAACTCAAAGAGTAAAGTTCTAGGTATTAATACAATTGATAAATATAGTATATACAAATTCCTTTACATGAGAATATGGTACGTTTTCATAAAATAGAACATATTTCGGGAAATGAGATGGAAAGATACAGCTGATGCTTGGAATATTGACTGCTTAAAAATGAGATTATTTAGTGACAAGATTTGGTTGTCATGGAGGGAACAGCTTAGATGGGATTAAGGATAAGAAATACTGTAAATGTTCAATATAAGTAAATAGGGATATAAATCATGGTACGTTCATATGATGGGATACTACGACAAATAAAACCACAATTTGAAAGAATTTTTAGTGACACAGAAATGTGTGTGTGATATAATATTTAGTGACAAATAAGTCTGGTACAAAACTATTGTGTGACCTCAATTGTGTAAAATACATAAGTACACAAATATATGTATATACATAGCTAAAGGCTTTCTTGTAATTTCAAAAAAATGAATAAGTTAAAATATTGTTAAAATTTTAAAGGAAATTTTAATTTAGGAGGTTTTCTTGAATCTTAATCTTAAATCCAGCAGGATGTTTTTGTTTCTTGAGAGGAAAAATTCCCTTGATCTGTGTCTTGGTGAGTTATTGCTATACAAGTACAAAAAGAGAAAATCCCAGTGGCGTGCAACCACAAGCACTTACTTAGGTCATGCATCTGAGTTGTCTGGTGGTCATTCGATATCGGTTGTATTCTCTCTTAGGTGGTTGTGTTCCTGCAACTGTCTCTTGGTTGGTTGCAGGTCAGTGGATGCTGGAGCTGTGCTTCTCTGTCTGTCTCTTTTTTTGCAATCTAGCCTGGCATAGTCTCGTGGTGATTGCAGAAGTGTCAAAGAGTAGACCCACCTGCACAGGCACCTTTCAAGCCTTTGGTCACATCATACCAGCTAATATTCTGTTGTCCAAGACAAGTCATGTGACAGAACACAAAAATCAAGGAGTTGGGATATATACTTGGCCTCTTTATTCAGAGGAATTCCAATGTCAGGTGGCAATGAGTGGGGTAAAGGAAGGGTGAAGAATTGGTGCAGTCTATCACAGTCTGAGGTACTGGAATTCTGGCTCAGCCAGGATTATTAATTCCTTGCTCATTTTTGTGTCCTGTTTAATAGCATAGTTACTTTCTGGCAAATATGTGAAGGGGTAATACCATTATTTTTGAATTGTTTATGGAAGCCACTGTTTTAGAGAATAAAAACAAAGCTCATTGAAAGAAACCCATAAGTAGATGAAAAAAAAAGTTGAGTTACAGTAAGGTAATGATAACAAAATAAGCTTAAAATTATTTTAATTAAATTTTTTATTGAGGTATGACAAAAGTCATAAATAATGGTTTAATGAATTATCCCCAAATAAATACATTATGTTACCACTCACCCGCGTTAAGAAACAAAATGTTAACTAGAATCCCAGAAACTGTCCATGTACCGTTCACTACTCATTTTTTCTCCCCCGAAAGTATTTGCTTGTTTTTGAACACTATGTTAATAGGATCCAACAGTGTGTATATTTTGTGACTTACTACATGATTGTGTGATTAATCTATACTGCTTTATGCAGGAATTTTTATTTTTTATTTTTTTAAAGTTTTATTTATTTTAGAGAGAGGGAGAGAGCATGTAGGTGTGAGTTGGGGAAGGAACAGAGGGAGAGGGAGAGAGAGAATCCCAAGCAGATGCTTCACTGAGCATGGAGCCCAACACGGGGCTCGATTCAACAATCTCAAGATCATGACCCAGTGGAAACCAAGAATCTGATGCCTAACCAACTTAGGCACCCAGTTTTAAAATTCATTTACATTGCTTTTTAGTATTGTATGAATATATCATAATTCTCTTTACTGGTGATAGACATTTTCGTTAATCTAATTTTGTGGTTTTTATCAGTAATTCTGTAAACATTTGCATTCCATGAGGATAGATAAATGTATTCATTTCCGTTTAGTTTATTCTTGGGAGTAGAATTGCTAAGTCATAGAATATTTGTATGTCAGCTTTGGTAGATGCTATCGAATGGGTTTCCAGAGTATCTGATAGTTGCATTCCCAGCAGTAGTGAATAAATTTCAGTTAGTTACACTTGGTATTTATCAGTTTTTAAAAAAATTGAGATATAAAATATATACAGTGAGATCTTTATGGGATACAAATCTGGAGTAAACAGTTGAGTCAGTTCTTCCATATGTATTCATCTGTATAAATCACTCCTGAACTCAAGACATACAGTATTTCTATTACCTCATTACCCTGGAGGGTTCTTGTGTTTCTCTTTGTAGTGACTACCCCTGCCCTTCCACCAGATAACTAGTATTCTAACTTCTGTCACCATTGCTGGCTTCTCTTCTTGAAGTTCATATGAAAAGGAATCCTACAATAGGCAGGCTTTTGTGTCTGGCTTCTTTTACTCAATATAATGTCTGGGAGAGTCCTCCATATTGTTATGTGCAGTATTAATTTATTCTTTTATGTATGTTGTCATGTCATACTCCTTTACAGGATTAAAACGGCTTATTCATCCTGCTTTGACTTAAAAAATAACCTTTCTTAGGCTTTCCTGATACCTTTGGGTATATCTTTTTTTTTTTTTTTAAGATTTTATTTATTTGACAGAGACACAGCGAAAGAAGGAACACAAGCAGGGGGAGTGGGAGAGGGAGAAGCAGGCCTCCCGCAGAGCGGGGAGCCTGATGTGGGGCTCGATCCCAGGACCCTGGGATCATGACCTGAGCTGAAGGCAGATGCTTAACGACTGAGCCACCCAGTGCCCCCCTTTGGATGTATCTTGCCAACAAATGCACAAAATAAATGGACATAAAGCACAGATGCTCATAGACACAGTTAAAAGCTATGGCAGCTTGATGCTGAGATGCTGAGTGTCGTGTCTGGGGAAGGAGCGTGGCGGCGCCACTCTTGCTTCTCAGGGTGTGTGCTGCCTGTACTCTGGGAACTACAAAGGAAATGTTGAATGTTCTTTTTACTTTTTCCCTTTTTTTTATAAAAGTGAAACTCTTCAGATTTCTTTCAGTTAGCGAAAGCAAGTATTAATGTAGGTCTTTTATAAAATAAAGTGGCATAATGCAAGCTTTCTGAAAGTGGGGATACTTGTATTTTTTTTCTTTTTGATATTATTGTAAATGAAATTGTTAATTTCCTTCTTGAATTGTTCATTATTAGTGTATAGAGATACAAATGATTTTTGCATGTTGATTTTGTATCCTGCAACTTTGCTGAATTTATTAGTTCAACCATTTATGTGTGTTGTGTGTTTGTGCGTGTGTGTAATATTCAGGTTTTCTGAACAAAAGATCATATCTGTAAACAGGGACAATTTTACTTTTTCCTTTCAAATTTGGACTCATTTTTTTTCTCTTTTTCTTCCTTATTTTCTGGCTCAGACTTCCAGTACTTTGTTGAATTGAATTGGCAAAAGTGAGCATCCTTATCTTGCTCCTGATGTAAGAGGAAAAACTTTCAGTCTTTCACCATTGAATATGATTTTAGCTGTGGTGTTTCCATATATGGCCTTTATTATGTTGAGAGAGCTTTCTTGTATTGCTAGTTCGTTGAGTGTTCCTAGTGTGAAAGGGTGTTGAATTTTGCCCAATTATTTTTCTTTATCAGTTGAGATGATCATGTGGTTTTTTTCCTGTCACTCCATTAGTGTAGTGCATTATGTTGATTGATTTTCTTATATTGAACCATCCTTGCATTCCAGGCTGATTGCTTTTTTTTTTTTCTTTCTTTCTTTTTTTGGGGGGGGATTAATTAGTCTTTACTTTTTTTTCTTTGACAGCTAGAAAAAGTCCTACAGCAAGGTGACATCGGAGAGTGTGCAGAACCATACATGATTTTCAAAGAAGCAGATGCCACAAAGGTAGAATATCATGCATCTCATTTTCCCCACCTTTATAGCCATATAGTCCCTCCCCATTTCCCCCAAATCTCTGAGTCCAACTCTAAACATCCTTAGATTTCCCAAGTTATTATTTGGGAGAATACAATACAAAGCATATTAAGGAATTTCACTACTAATTCATTATTTTCTGTTGGCCTACCCACTTTATTAGTTTCTTCTTTATTTCCTTTGTTATCTAGCTTATGTCATATGCTGTTATTCTTTTTTTTTTTTTCCTTAGAGGGGCTTAGAGGGGGTTGGCTAGGAGCAGATGGAGTGAGAGAATCTTAAGCAGGCTTTTCTCTTTTTCTTCCTTATTTTTTCCATAATGCTTACTACGGAGCCCAGTGTGGGGCTCAGTCTCACAACCCTGAAATCATGACCTGAGCGAAATCCAGAGTCAGACACTTAACCAACTGCACCACCCAGGTGCCCCTGTGATGTTTTCGTCTTTAAAATCTCCCTCACCCCCAAACTAATGGACTCTTTACATTTTTTTCTTTTTTTCCTATAGTTTAATTCCTAAATAATTAAAATTTTCAAAAATAGTGATATTTTTATAAAATAGTGATATTGATAATAAAACTTTTCATAGCAAAACAGTGGTATTCTGGAGCTCTGTCTAGTTGCAGATAATTAAGGAATATGGTAAAAATAGAAAATGCAATCTTTGTTTTGCCATCAGACCACTGTGTTGTAGAATTTGGATCAATTTATAAAGCAAGAGTAATTTATATAAAGGTGGTACCAAATTTCAGATACCCTGAGTTAGCTACAAGAATAACAGATGAGGAACACCTGAGTGGCTCAGTCATTTAAGCATCTGCCTTCTGCTCAGGTCATAATGCTGGAGTCCTGGGATGGAGTCCCACATTGGGATCCTTGCTCAATGGGGAGCCTGCCTCTTCCTTTCTCTGCTCATGTTCTCTGTCTCTCTCCAATAAATAAATAAAATCTCTTAAATAATAAAAAAAGAATAACATTTGATCTTAGATCTTTGACCACATGATTTAATAGTTGAAATAGCCAGGAGAGTATGCTTGAGGAATACTGGACAAGTTACCAAAATCTAGAATATGTTTTGCTTTCTTTGTGAAATTTATAACAAGAACTGAGACTTCTGCTAATTGAGGTCGACCGGGGTACACAATAATGTTCTCTTATCCCTGGCTAGCTGGTTGAAGTCAGGGTTAATGTATTCTGGCTTTCCCCAGGTTGTCATTTTTTAAATTAAATTTGCTGTTTTATGGAGCTCATAGTTATAATAGCAACCTATTACATACGTATATAAGCTGATAGAATCAAGTACACTGGATACCTAGTCTCTTAAAGCAAGATTCTATTTTGGAAGTATAATAGATAGCAATAAACAGTGCTACCATTTAGTTATCCTTCCCTCTTTTCCCAGACCTGAGTCTCAAGGTAGGACAGTCATTAGAGAATACATCCTATATGGAAAGAGTACGTAGGAGATTTGGTGTAGGTTTTTACTCTTGGACCATTGGTTGGCTATCACAGGCCACCTTAGTGTTTCTGTCAAGGACAGCCTGAAAGTTGGGCCGGCTTCAGGATATCCTCCCGATAGGCACATACTGTTTGGACGATCAGTCTATTTCTGGATTTAGTCCCTTTGTAATAATTTTTTCTTTGCTTCTTTTATTACAATTCTGGGCTTATATGTTATTAGCCTGTTTATGGCCCACACTCCCACCTTACCTTACTCCTTTTCTTGCCATAAATTAAGGATTAGTTCCAAATGGCTCAACTGCTTCCATCTTTTTCAGTATAATAAAATTTAGTAAGTCATAACCTTGAATATTTTATAGTTAGCAGTTACAGACTAGAATATGGTTATGTTTCTTTTCATAAAATAGTACTTGTAATACATAAACATGTTTGGCACTTGCTCTCCTTTCTTTCCTACCAAGGTGAGAAAATCACAAAGAGAAATTTGAGGGGCGCCTGGGTGGCTCAGTCGTTAAGCGTCTGCCTTCGACTCAGGTCATGATCCCAGGGTCCTGGGATCGAGCCCCGCATCGGGCTCCCTGCTCCGCGGGGAGCCTGCTTCTCCCTCTCCCACTCCCCCTGCTTGTGTTCCCTCTCTCGCTGTCTCTCTCTGTCAAATAAATAAATAAAATCTTTAAAAAAAAAAAAAAAGAAATTTGAAAGACTTACTCTACACATACATTTATAGAATGGGTTGAAATTATTCAGTGGTTAAGATAAATAGTGTTAGTTGATCTCTGAAACGTATAGATTATTTTTCCATCCTTTTTTTAAAAGATTTTATTTATTTATTTGAGAGAGAGAGTGAGCGAGAGAGAGCACTTGGGCAGGGGCAGAGGGGAGAGAGAGAAGCAGGCTCCCCGCTGAGCAGGGAGCCTGCCCGGGGCTTGATCCCAGGACCCTGGCATCATGACCTGAAGGCAGACTCTTTTTTTTTTTTTTTTTTAAGATTTTATTTATTTGAGAGAGAGAGAATGAGAGAGCACGAGAGGGGGGAGGGTCAGAGGGAGAAGCAGACTCCTTACTGAGCAGGGAGCTCAATGTGGGACTTGATCCTGGGTACTCCAGGATCATGACCTGAGCCGAAGGCAGTTGCTTAACCAACTGAGCCACGCTGGCGCCCCTATTTTTCCATCTTTGTTGAGAACTGAGAATTCTTACTCTGTCTTTTTATGTATTATGAAGTAGTCTTTAATTCATTTCTTTTGAGCATAATTATATAATGTATAAAGTTTTGTTTTGCAGAATAAGGAAAAATTGGAGAAGCTGAAAAGTCAAGCCGATCAGTTTTGTCAAAGACTTGGGAAATATCGCATGCCTTTTGCTTGGACTGCAATCCATTTAATGAATATTGTAAGCAGTGCGGGGAGTTTGGAAAGAGATTCTACAGAGGTGGAAATAAGCACTGGTGGTAAGAGTGTTTTATATAAAATATTTCTAAATGTTTAAGTTTTTTCTTTTTTCTATATAGGCTTGTTTTATTTGTAGACTTTGCATTGTTCTGAGGCATAAAGGGTTTTCTGTTTTTGCTTCCCCCCTCCCACAGCCTTATTGAGATGTAATTTATATACTATACAATTCACCCACTTAAAGTGTATAATTCATTGTTTTTTTGATATATTCACAAGGTTCTGCAGCCATCACTACAATCTAATTTTGGAACACTCGTTAGCAGTCATCCCGTTCTCTCCCAATCCGGAAACCCGACCCTAAATAACTTCATAACTCCTTAGTCTGTATGGATTTGCCTATGCTGGACATTTCATATCAATACAATTATACAATATGTAGTCTTTGTGTGACTAGTTTCTTTCACATAGCATAATGTTTTAAAAGTTCATGTTGTAGCATGTATCAGTGTTTAATTTCTTTCTTTTTTGAGTATTTAATTTCTTTTTATTGCCAAATAATAGTACATCATGTGGATATGCCACATTTTATTAATCCATTCATCAGTTGATGCACATTTGGGTTGTTTATACTTTTTGTTTAATATGAATAATGCTGCAGTTAAGGTTCATGTACCAGCTTTTGTGTGGACATATATGTTTTCATTTCTTTATATACTAGAAATTGTTGGATCGTAGGACAATTCTGTATTTCACCTTTTGATGAACTGCCAAGCTGTTTTCCATGTTGCTGCACCATTAAAAATTCTATTAATAGGGCGCCTGGGTGGCTCAGTTGGTTAAGCGACTGCCTTCGGCTCAGGTCATGATCCTGGAGTCCCGGGATCGAGTCCCGCATCGGGCTCCCTGCTCAGCAGCGAGTCTGCCTCTCCCTCTGACCTCCTTCCCTCTCATGCTCTCTCTCTACCATTCTCTCTCTTTCTCAATAAAAAAATAAAAATCTTTAAAAAAAAAAAATTCTATTAATAGTGTGTGAAGGCTCCAATTTCTCCATATCTTTGACAACACTTTTATTATCTGGCCCTTTGATTACAGCCATTCTAGTGCACGTAAAGAGGTTTAGATTTGCCTTTCCTTGATAGTTAATGATCTTGAGTATTATTTTTTACACTGGCTATTTGTATGTTTTCTTTGGAGAAAGAGGTAGTCATATCTAACTTCGCCCATTTTTAAAATACCTGTTTTGTCTTGTTACCTAGCGGATGATCTTTTTTTTTTTTAAAAGATTTATTTATTTATTTATTTATTTATTTATTTATTTATTTATTTGACAGAGAGAGAGATACAGCAAGAGAGGGAACACAAGCAGAGGGAGTGGGAGAGGGAGAAGCAGGCTTCCTGTGGAGCAGGGAGCCCAATACGGGGCTCGATCCCAGGACCCTGGGATCATGACCTGAGCCGAAGGCAGACGCTTAACGACTGAGCCACCCAGGCGCCCCTGGATGCTCATTTTTTATGTGGCTTTTTTATATTATTGTCATCAAATTGTAAGAGTTCTTTATGTATTCTGGATACAAATCTTTTATCTAAGGACTTGAAAATATTTTCTCCCAGTCTGTGGGTTGGTGGTTTGTTTGTTTAACTTTTTTGATGATATTGTCTGCAGCACAGATATTTTTTGACAAAGTTCCATTTTTCTGTTCTTTTGTTGCTTGTGCTTTTGGAGTTATATCTAAGAAAGCATTACCTAAGCCACGATCAGGAAGATCTACCTGTGTGTTTTGCCTAAGAGTTTATAGGTGTAGCTCATACATTTGGGTATAATCCATTTCAAGTTACTTTTTGTACATGGTGAGAGGTAGAGATCCAACATTATTCTTTTTACGTAGATACTGAGTTGTCCCAACACCCATTTACTAAGACTGTTCTTTCTCCAGCAAATGGTCTTGCCATTCTTGTTGAAAATCAGTTCGTGATAGATATATGGGTTTAATTCTGGACTCTCAATTCTATTCCACTGATTTATATTTCTAAGCTTATGGTAATACTATTCTGTCTTGATTATTTTAGCTTTGCAATAATTTTGAAAGTGGGGAGAGTGGTCCTCCAACTTTATTATCTTTTTTAAAGATCTTGTGTGGGTGTGCCTATTTTGGACCCTTGTAGTTTCATATGAAGTTTAGGATCAGCTGTCAGTTTCTGCACAAAGGCAGCTGGAGTTTTGATAGGCATTACATTGAGTCTGTAAATCAATTTGGGGAGTATTGTCCTCTTAACAGTAGTAAGTCTTCCAATCCATGAAACGTTTTTCCATTTATTTAGATCTTAACATTTTCCCAACATTTTACAGTTTCCAATGTACAAATCTTGTCCTCCTTCTGTTAAATGTATACCCAAATATTTTACTGTTTTTTATGCTATTTTAAATGGAATTTTCTTTTTTTTTTTTTTAAGATTTTATTTATTTATCTGACAGAGAGAGACACACAGAGAGAGGGAGCACAAGCAGGGGGAGTGGGAGAGGGAGAAGCAGGCTTCCCGCAGAGAAGGGAGCCTGATGCGGGGCTCGATCCCAGGAGCCTGGGATCATGACCTGAGCTGAAGGCAGACGCTTAACGACTGAGCCGCCCAGGGTCCCCTGGAATTGTTTTCCTAATTTCATTTTTAGAATGTTCATTTCTTGTGTATAGAATATTGACTTGAATATTGATCTTGTACTATGAAACCATTTTGAAAATGTTTATTAATTACAGTGTTATTTTTTTCTTTTCTGGATTCTTAAGGATTTTCTCTATACAAGATCATGTCATCTGCAAATAACAAAAAGTTTACTGTTTCCTTTTCAATCTAGATGTCTTTTATTTCTTTTTTCTTTTCTAATGATCTCATAACTAGAACCTCCTCTATAATATTGAAGTGGGAAGAGTGGATATCCTCTTCTTGTTCTTGACCTGGGGGGGAATGCATTTAGTCTTTTATCATCAAGTATGATGTTTGCTGTAGGTTTTTTATAGACATAATTTAGTAGATTGATGACATTCCCTTCTATGCCTAACTTTTTGAGTGTTTTTATCATGAAAGGATGTTGGATTCTGTCAAATGCTTTTTCTGCCTTTGAGTTGACTTGTATGGTTTTTGTTTTATATTCTTTTACTGGGTGTATTGCATTAATTGATTACATTTTGGATGTTAAACTAATCTTACATTTCTGGGAGAAATCCCACTTGGTCATGGTACATAAGTTTTTTGTAGATGTTAAAATATGTTTCTCAGTATTTTGTTTAAAATTTTTCTTCTATATTCATAAGGGATATTGGTCTGCAGTTTTTCTTTCTTTTGACATATCTGTCTGGTTTTGATATCAAAGTAACACCAGCCTCACAGAATGAATTGTGAATTATTGCTTTGTTTTTTGGAGGGTTTTGTGAAGGATTGGTATTTGGTTTTTGAAAAATTGGAAGAATTCACTAGTGAAGCCATCTTGGCTCTTAAGTTTTATTTAACTAAGTAGATCTTTTCACTTATTTTAGATCTTTTTATATTTTCTTTTTTCACCTTAAATCAGTTTCAGTACTGTTTCTTTCTAGAAATTGGTTCATTTTGTGTAAATTATCTAATTGTTGACTTACAGTTTTTCATAAAATTGTAATATAATCCTTTTTCTAAGAGCTGTAGTGATGTCTTCTCATTCATTCCTGATTTTGGTAATTTCAGCCTTTCCTATTTTTTAATTACCTATTTAGCTAATGTTTTTAAAATTTTCTTTTTGAAGATCCAGTTTTTGGTTTCATTGATGTGTTTCTAGTTTCTATTTCATTTATTGCCATTCAGCTGTTGTCATTTTTGAGTCCTTTCTCACGCTTCCTTTGGTTTTAGTTTTCTCTTTTTCTAGTTTCTTTTTTCTTTTTTTAAAGATTTTATTTATTTATTTGAGAGAGAGAATGAGAGAGAGAGAGAGAGCACACGAGAGGGGGTAGGGTCAGAGGGAGAAACAGACTCCCTGCTGAGCAGGGAGCCCGATGCGAGACTCGATCCTGGGACTCCAGGATCATGACCTGAGCCGAAGGCAGTTGCTCAACCAACTGAGCCACCCAGGCACCCTCTTTTTCTAGTTTCTTAAAATGTAAGGTTAAGTTACTGATTTGAGAGCTTTCTTCTTCTTTTTTTTTTAAGATAGGCATTTATAGACATAAATTTTCCTCTGAGCACTGTATCCCATATGTCTTAGGATATTGTGTTTTCATTTTCATACATTTTAACTAAATTTACTAATTTCCCTTGCTGTTTCCTCTTTGACCCACTGGTTATTTGAGTTTGCTGTTTAACTTCCACATGTTTATGAATTTCCCAAATATTCTTCTGTTACTGATTTATAGTTTGATTTCACTGATGTTGGAGAACATATTTTATGTAATTTCAGTCCTTTTGAATTTATTGTATTTTTTGTCTTAAGAGTCAGTCTGCCTTGGAGAATGTCCTTTGTGCACTTGAGAAGAGCATGTATTCTACTTTTGCTTGATGATATGTAGTATAGCTATCTGTTAGGTCTAGTTTGTTTATAGTTTTAAGTCTTCTGTTTCTTCGTTGATCTGCAACATAGATCTTCAGTTGGTTTTGAATAATAGGGTTATCTTGCAAGGTCTTGGAATTAAAATTCTGTTTCAAATTCAAATGCTAATAGGGTTATCTTGCAAGGGCTTTGAATTAAAATTCTGTTTCGAATTCAAATTCAAGTCAGGGACTATTATATGGTTACTAAAATTTTCATTGTGTGAATATTTCCTAACAAATGCATAGTTCCCCTGTAGCTGCTCTTCATAGCTCATCTTTGGTTTTATGCATAATTTTAGTGTAGTAGAGACTTTTTTTTACACTAGAGAAATTTTAAAAAGAGAACCGGATGATTTAGGTATAGTGCTTCCTTACTGCTCTCTCCAGAAGTGAAATTGTTCTGTTTTTTTTTTTTTAAGATTTATTTATTTATTTGAGAGAGAGAGTGAGCGTGGGGGAGAGGGAGAGACAGTCTTAAGCAGGCTCTGCGCTGAGCGCGGAGCCTGACGTGGGGCTCAGTCTCACAAGTCTGAGATCATGACCTGAGCCGAAAACCAAGAGTCGGATGCTTAGCTGACTGTGCCGTCCAGGCGCCCCTCCAGAAGTGAAATTCTTACTACAATCAATATGCTGAATAATTTTCAACTTTAATGATTTTTTTCCCTGTGTTTGGAAAGCTGCTTGGAAACAAGTTTTAAATATTATGAAAATGAATATCATACTGTTTTTTCCCCCCTTGGTAGAACGAAAAGGGTCTTGGTCAGAGAGGAGGAATTCTAGTATTGTTGGCAGACGTTCCCTCGAAAGGACAACAAGTGGAGATGATGCTTGTAACTTGACCAGCTTTCGACCTGCTACTCTCACAGTGACGAATTTTTTTAAGCAGGTATTGTTCTGTCATGTAGTTATTCTAGGGGGCTATTTATACATAAAATTTTTTTGGTTTCAGAAAATTTGTAATTGTACATATACATGCAGTGATTGTGATTTTGAGAAATTTAAAAAAACTTTTAAGGATAAAAAGTATAAGAATAAAATAATATTGTACCTCTTGTATAATTATATTTATTTAAATGTTATACTAATGCATCAGAATCAGTCCTCCACATTTATATCCTATTTCTTAATTGTAATTTTTAAACATTCATGGTTTATGAATTTTCTTAGTGAGTGATTGTGTGGTTGTATCTCTCTTCCCCACCCAAGTTTTTTTTGGTTGAATTTACCACATCCATGGTGTATGGAATAGGACTCTCAGGCCTTTATAGTGCATTTTTGTGCTAAAAGGTAGTTAACATTTTTATAAGTGCATTTATAGGTCCAAGAAGTTCTTGATCAAAGATATTTTATTCTTTGCAAATATGTTCTCTGTACTTCAAATCATGAATCAAATCAGGAGTTTTTAAATGCTGGTCATGATCCATTAACAGTAATGGAAATATAATAGATAATACTCAGCTTAAAAACAAACACAGTAGAATAGAAAAATAATAGTGCATCACACATAGTGAGGTTAAAAATTGCTTTGGTGAGCTTTTTTCCCCCTAATTTTTGTATGAGTACATGCACGTATGCATGTCCATACTGGATTTTGATACAAAATGAATTGGTACCATGCATATATTTTGGAACAGATGAAGGGCAATTGCTAAGTATTGTCCAAGAATTCCTTCTTTTGAGGTCTTATTCTAAATAAGAGGAGGAAATCTTGGCCTACTGACATCTTATAACTTGAAAGAGTCAAGGTTTAGGAAAGGATGTGCCATGAAGTGAAAGCTAGCAATCTACCTGAAGGCCCTTTCACAATTTTATTGCAATACATTTATAGACAGCTGCTCCGAGAGATTCCACTGGAGAGTACAGCAGCTGAGAAGTATCTGAAGTGGTAAGGGTCTTTTTATTATGGACAATAGAACAAGAAAGGAAAGGCCACTGTGTTACTTGGATGAAGTGATCGGCTAAATAAAGCTACAGAAACCAGGCAGCAGATTTATGTGATATAGTGACACTGCCTTGCAGCTATGACATTTTCCTCTCTTTCTACTTCTTCAACTGCTATATCACTTCTGCACTATTTCACCAGTTCTTTTTTCATTTCTTCAACCTACTTTATTATTGAACTGGTTTTGTAACCTTAAATCAACAAGTCATCCATCCACCCACCTACCTGTTGATCCAACAAATAGTTTCTGACTGTTCAGCATGTACTGAGTATCAACCCACCCACCTACCTATTTATCCAGCAAATATTTTTTGAGCATTCACCGTGTACTGGATACTGTGTTGGAGACTGGTAGCTGGAAACTAGCACAAAGTGATTGTGAAAACTTCAAATGAATGATTATTGGAAACATCAGCAATAGAAAGCATTTATTTGTTTGTTTATTTTAATGGAAAGCATTTCTACTTTGTACAGTCAATTTTTTTTAATGATTAGCATGTATAATTTTTACAAGTATTTTTAAACAGCTAGTGTACTGTGCATCAGGCAAATGAAAAGTAAGTAAAAAGCAGAGATTACAATTTTAATACAGTAGAATTCAAGGTACAAAATGAGAAACAGAAGGCAGTTCTTTTTTAAAGTTGATGAGCGATTACTAACCATGAATTTGATACAGTAATCAGGAGTGCTTATGTACAGGTTTGAAATTGTCAAGTCAAAATTATTAAAAGTACATGGAGATATAAAAACAAAATTAAACCCACCCATTAGTTTCAAAAACATTTGTTTTATTTGTTGACAGGTATGTAAGTTGGAGTACACAGTGGTGAATATGCAAAGTGGAAGTGGGGGGTGGTCAGCTAGGCTCATTCACGTTTGGAGGTTGACTTAGATCATTTGGTCTAGACTGACTTCTCTTGGGAAGACTGAAATGACTCAGGTGTCTTCCATGTCTCTCTACTTCTATTCTTATGCTTTAGCAGGTTGGCTTGGTTATGTTCTCATACTAATGGCAGAAGTTCAACGGGGGGCCAAGCTCATTTGTACAAATGTTTGTCAGGTCTCTGCATCACATTTGCTTATTGGCCAAGACAAGTCACATGGCCAAGCCGAGGGGTGGGAATTATGCCTCACCCAACAAAAGGCACACAGGGAGTAAAGAGTGGAGGCCAATAATAGAATCAATTTAACAGGTTAAGTGGACAGAAATAATTAAGTAGAGATAATCTGAATGTACTATAAATAAGGACCATTTAAAGGTCTGACTCAAAAGAGGAGAGAGTATACTGTTTTAGCAACTGATCGAACATTTACAATAATTAAGCCACAGGAAAAAATCTTCATAAAATGAAATTCTCTAATCATAACTTAATAAAACTCAAAACTGTTTATTAAAGTATTAATAAAAATCTTGAATCACTTGGAAATTAAAAATCACTCTTCTGAATAGTGGGATGAAAGAAGATCAATTCTTTACTCTGTATAGAATGTAATAGTGAACAAATGGGATATGGCTCAAGGTGAGCTCACAGTAATAAAGTAATGTTAAATATGTTCATTAACACATAAAATAAGAAATATATAAACAGTGCATTAAAAACAAAAAGATATCAAGTGCAGGTTTGGATTAATGAAATCTAAAGATTGACTCTTGAATAAAGGAGTAAAATTCTTCCCTATTTTAATTATAAGAAAAAATATTAAATTGAAAATTTTGTATTAGGTGTAGTTTGGTTTGTTGTTTGCTTGTCTCTTTTCCCATTGATTGAGATTGTTTCACAATTTTCTTTCTGGTCTTAGTGTCAGGATAATTATTCTTTTCCTTATGAGTAGATTCTGTAGACAAATGTATAAACAAACAAAAAGCAGAGCCAGACCCATAAATACAGAGAACACATTGATGGTTACCAGAAAGGGTTAAGGGTGGGGGGATGGGCAAAATGGATGAAGGGGAGTGGGAGATACAGGCTTCCAGTTATGGAATGAATGAAGTCACGGGAATAGAAGCCACAGCATAAGGAATATGGTCAGTGATATTGTAATGGTGTTGTATGGTGATAGATGGTAGCTACACTTGTGGTGAGCATAGCGTAATGTATAAATTCCTGGAATCACTATGTTGCGCACCTGAAACTGATGTCACATTGTGTGTCAGCTATACTCAACTGAAAAAATTTTAAAAAGTATTTGCAATCAGAAAAAAAGGTGTATTTTTTGTTGCTACTTCTTTTTTTTTTTCAAATTTAGTTAATGCTGTATATTTTGCATTTGAGAAATTTGATGATATAAAATTGAAAAGACAAACACTCAAGTGTAAAAAATTTTTAAGACTGTCATATATATATGTTTCTTATATGTCTGTATTTTTCTTTTTCTTTTTTCCTTTTCATCTACCTCTAAATTGTATAGATTTTCTGTATTTTAGAGTGTCCTGTAATACCTTATAGACATAAATAATGGGCTATAAGTAAATATATAAAATTAAAGTATAGATAATAGTATCATAACGCTTAATAAAATTTGAAAGCATAAAAAAGGAAATAAATCAGCATGATATTTATTTTTAATCATAATTATATTAATTTAATCTTTTCATTCTGACTAAACCGACAGAAGAGGGTATGAATATTAACAGGCAGTATACATTTATTTTCAATCTACTATATTTGTTTTATTGAATACTTTTTTCTCAGGAAGGAGACCGCCTAAGTGATGAAGATCTGTACAAATTTCTTGCTGATATGAGAAGGCCGTCTTCTGTTTTACGGCGACTAAGACCTATTACAGGTATTTTAAAATTTTGAGTAGACATTATTACAACCCTTATCATCACTAATATGTCCTATTGTTGGTAATTATGCATTCATTCCTTTTTTCACTTATCTAACCCATCTGTCTTTCTTTGCCCAATGCCTGTCAGTCTTCTTCATTTTATTATTCTCTTCTCATGGTCTTAACAGTTTGTATGCAAGATTCAGTACTTTTGATAATTTGAGTACTGAAATGAGAATGATGAATAATATCATGGCTTAAAATTATTTTTAGAGGAAAGAAAATGTACATAGAATGGTAAATATTCAGAAACAGATTCATATAATCAGAGCAAACCATTCCAGAGTAAAAAAGTTCAAATTAAATCACTCATCTTTCAGAATGTTGGCTTGTTGTATGCTAAATGCCTCTGTTTTTGTTTTTTCTTTCTTTCTTTTGCTTCTTTCTTTCTTTCTTTCTTCTCATTCATTCATTTGGTAGGCATTTATTATTTTACATGTAATTATGTCTGTATCAGTAATTTATAACTTCTTGCAAAAATGTGATCTAAATCCTTCCAGGAACATTTTTACATGAAGTTTTTATTATGTTTACATTGTTTTTATAATATGTTTTCATATGCAGCTCAGCTGAAGATAGACATTTCTCCTGCACCTGAAAATCCCCATTATTGCCTAACTCCAGAGCTACTTCAAGTGAAGCTTTACCCAGACAGTAGGGTTAGACCTACCAGAGAAATTTTGGAGTTTCCTGCCAGGGATGTCTATGTTCCAAACACTACTTACAGGTAACACATTTTAATTTTAGAGATTTCTGAAATTAGATACTATATATTCTATTATGAAAGTAAAACTAGAATGAAACTCTCCAAAAATCCTTTGTAGCTTTGTTACTTATTCCATTTCTTACTCTATGATTTTACTAAGAGCTGTAATGTATTAAATTTATACTATGCGCCAAGTCAAAGGTCAGATGTTAATTACCTTACATACATTACCTTATTTAATCCTCACAGCTTGAGGTAGGTATTACCTTCATTTTAAAAGTGAGTAAAGGGATGGAGAGGTCAGGTATCCCTCACTGTGGTGGAACTAGCACTGGAAGTGTGGGCTGTGAGATTAAAACATTTGAACTCCCTGTTACTTTATTTCCTCAGATGTTCTTATTAGCAGAGTCTAGCGTTCCATAGGAACCAGACTTATGTGGCTGCAGTGTGGTCCAGCAACTAATCAACAGTGTTTACTGATCCACTACTCAGAATACTTGACAGGAGGTTGTTGAATAGGCTTTCCAGGCTGACCACTCCATAACTCTAAGGGTTTGTTTACTTACACTCCCTATGAATGAAGCCCCTTCACTTGTGAGTGCCTAGCCCGTGACTTGACACTGGGATAGCCAGCAGGGCAGCTCAGATGTAAGATTCCAGCCCAGACTTCCCCATCGTAGCATATTTCACCACCAAGTTACGCAGTTTCTGAGGCCAAAATTTTTGGAATCAAAGTGATTTCTGTCCTTTTCTTACTCCTCACATTTACTCCTCAAACAAGTTTTACAGGCTCTGCTTTCAAAATGTATCCCAAATCCCATAGTTCTTACCTTCTCCAAAGATTTTATTTATTTATTTGAGAGAGAGAGAGCGAGCGAGCACACGCACACATAGCAGTGGGGGAGAAGGAGAGGGAGAGGACAAGAAGCAGACTCCCCACTGAGCACAGAGCCCCACATGGGGCTCCATGTGGGGCTTGATACAGGGCTCGACTAGGGGCTTCAGACAGGGCTCCATCCCAGGACCCTGAGATCATGACCTGAGCCCAAGTCAGGTGCTTAACCGACTGAGCCACCCAGGCGCCCCTTACTCCTTTTAGAACTCTAGGCAAGTCACTATCTAGACCAGCACTGTCAAATAGAAATATAATGGGAACTACATTTGGAATTAAAAATTTTATAGTTCCCACATTAAAAAAATAAAAAGAAACCAGTGAAATTAATTTTAATTATGTTATTTAACCTAATATACCTAAAATATTATCATTTCAACATGTAATAAATGTAAAAAAGTGTTGAGCTATTTTACTTTTTTCTTTCCTACAAAACGTCTTCAAAATCAGGTGCGTATTTTATGTTTAAAACACATCTCAATTTCAGATGAGCCACATTTCAAATGCTCAGTTGCTGCGTGGGGCTAGAGGTTAGCATATTGGACAGCTTCTGATCTCAGATTTTTCTGTACCTTTCTAATTTGATCATCTTCCTTTAACCCTGCCTAAATCAATTCTCAGCATTATCACCAGAGAGATATTTAAATGTTCTCAATCAGATCATTCATTCCTCCATCTAAAATCCTTCGGTGGCTTCCATCATAAGCAGAAAAAATGCTTTTTTTTAAATAACAGTCTTTAAGACTCTATATGATCTGGCCCCTGCCTGTCTCTAACTTCATATCCTGCTCTGCTTTTCTCATTTCACTTTAGCCTCAGTGGCCTTTTTACTCATCCTTGAACAAACAAAATTTCATTCTCCCTAAGGCTTTTCCATTTGTTCTTCTCTTTTCCTGATATGTTTTCCCCTATATTTTCATGTGGTTTGGTTCCTTATTCAGACATATCTCTGCTAAAAGGTCACTGCCTTGAGAAGGCATTTCCCTAGGTAAAAAGATCCACTGCTTCTCTCCAATTCTTCACCCTTCTTTCTATTTATTGTTATCTGGCATCACATTATGTAGTTATATGATCGGGGTTTTTTTGTCTTTTTCATTATAATGTAATTAATGTAAAGGGCAGGGACTTGTCTGTTTCCGTTATCGCTTTATTTCCAGCATCTAGAATAGTATGTTAGCACATAGGCAGCACACAATAAACATTTATTCATTGAGTTGAGAAATAAGGAACTGGACAGTGGTATGAGAGTGGGATTTAGAGTCATAGAATTTGGGCTGTGATTTCTGACTCCACTATGCACTATTTGGTGACTTAGGACAAGTTACTTAATATATTGACCACTCAGTTTTCTTATTAATAAAATGTGAGGTCATAATTATACCTGCCTTCTCTTGTGAGGGTACAGAGTACAAAACACTGCATGTAATTGGCACTTAGTGTGAGTAAAATTTCTGCAAGTTAGGCTAAAGAAAATATATATTGCTTTTAAAAGAAGTAAGGTATTATGAAATTATTCTTCCATAAATTATATATTTAAGTACTTACAAGCACATGGAATAAAGAAGTGATTATATAATCCAAAATTTGTATGAAACCATTTTGAGGTTATCAACTGGACCTCTTACCTAGTACAGGAATCTCATCCAGAGCATCCCTAACTTGTATTTATCTATCTTGCCTCTGCTTGGATTATTTCAGAGATAGAGAAAGTAGAAATCGGGGTCTTGAAGTGGTCTTTTCTTTCATTTTCCTACTTGTTTTTGTTATTTACATATTTATATTTTTTGTTAAAAATTGTATGAATCAAAAACTAATGATGTAATATATGGTGATTAACATAACATAATAAAAAAAGATAAAAAGAATTGTATGAATATACTTAAAGTTCGTGTAAGTACTGTAGGCTTAAAATTAAAAACAGAGGTCCTTCATCTTATTCCTACCAGCCTTTCCCTACTTTGATGTTTAATTTTCAGTGCCAATCACTGGTAACTCTTTTTGCTCCTTCTTTTGGTATTTTATTCCTTGTTTTCTAAACAACATATTAGTGCTACTATTTCTTGATTCTTGTTCAGTTTTAAATATCCATTTATTGTTATATTAGATGAAGATTTAACTCTTACATCTTCCTTCCTAAAAATACAGGTACTTGCATAAATTCAGAAAAAAATACATATACTTGTCATCTCTTCCATATGTATATTCCAGTTTTTCATTAAATCAGTGTTAATTTTTTTAGATGTTTGTGATTCTTATGTAACTAGTTTTGCAGTGGAGCCATGAAGATTACTATGATTTTATTCCTGCATTTGATTTATATTTATATAGCTTTTTGTTTTCCTGAAATGGTTACATTAGTTTCCCTACTTCTCTGTGTGTTACTGCTAAAATTCTCTAAAGCTTCTTGCAATACAGCAAAATACATCAGATAATCATTTCCTGTCTTGCAGCTTCCTTAGTTCCCCTTGCAACTAAATTGGAAGTGTGGCCAAGGGAGTTTCTGAGGCTCGCTAGGCTTACTGTACAGTTGCCATCTTGGAGCCTGTTTACCATGATCCTGGAAATTCTCTTTGCATTTCTTTTGCTATGGAGTCTTTATTTCCTGTATATTGTTCTTTCTTGTTTTACTCATTTTACTGACAGCCTTCAGTAACTTCCTGAAACAGGGTATATGGGAGTAAATTTTCTGAGACTTTTACAAAAGTATGTTTATTTTACCTTTACTCCAGAATTACTGATTTTGCTGGAAACAATATTCTAAGTTGTAAATTATTTTCTGTCAGGATTTTGAAAACATGACACAACTGTCTTCTGGCCTTAAGTGATTCTTTTGAGTGGTCCAATATACTTTTTTTTCAAAGATTTTATTTATTTGAGAAAGAGAGAGAGAAAAAAAAGAGAGAGGGTGTGAGTATGAGCAGGAGCAGAGAGGCAGAGAGGGAGAAGCAGACTCCCCGCTGAGCAGGGAGCCCAGTGCGGGGCTCGATCCCAGGACCCTGGGACCATGACCTGAGCCGAAGGCAGATGCTTAACGACTGAGGCACACAGGTGCCCCCCCAGTATACTTCTGATTGCTAATCCTTTGTTGGTATCTTTTCCTTTTTTGAGTTGTTTTTTTTTTTACCCCTGGTGTTCTGAACTTTCATGTGATGTGCTGATAGGATAATATTTATTTAGTGCTTTATAGTATTTCATTTAAATTGTTCTCATTTAAATTAATTTATTGTCTCAGAGGAATCTTATAAATTATATAATTCTGGCAGAATTGTTACTTACCTTTTATTTACTATAAATAAGTAAGAGATAAGAAACTTATCTGGACTTGAACCAGGTCTTATTTTCTGTATTCTTCATCCTTTGGGATTATAGTACATCCAGCATTTATAGTTACAATATGAATAAAATTAAAGTTTCTTATTGCTAGGTAATTGATTGCTACATTTTTATTAAAGCAGGCAGAACACCTTTATATACCTTATTATTTGCCTCAAAATGTGCCTCATCATTTATCCTTGTCTAATAATTTTTTTAATGCCTTATAATTGAGCTAAGTATGACAGTTGATAGAAATGTTATCCTAGGCTATTATGTATATGAAGGGCCGGAAGAGCAAATCTAGACATGTTTTAGGACTTGAATGGAAGTTGGGTAGAGAGCTTATCTCAAGTGAGAAGACATCTTACTGAATGAGGTAGCCTATTGTTTTCTCTCAATTATGTATCCAGTTTTAATCCAGTTTTACTCTGGGGAAGAAGAAAAAGTTAACACACCAAAAGATTTAAGTGGACTTTATAAAGTATAAATTAGGATGGTTTTACTGTGTGAGCTTATAGAAATTAAGTAAACATGTATCAGTAGCTGTTTCAGGTAACTTGTTTATTTGTGTTTGATTTTGGTTTTTATAATTGAATGCTTTACCATTTAAAGTGTTTAGCATCAGTAAAGATAATTGATTGTCCAAAAACTGTAATTATTTTCTATTTTGGCAGTAAACTTTTCAGGTATAAGAATGAATTCATAGCTAATTAGCTTGAGAATGATCTGGAGAGATCTTTTAATGCATCTCAGTGCCTTTGGCTTGGACTGTATCTAAATACTCTATTAATTAAAGAGTCGATACTCATCCCAA